CTATGTTAGCCAGGCTAGTCTCGAACTCCTAACCTCAAGTGATCCGTCTGCCTCGGCCTCCCAAAGCGCTGGGATTACAGGTTTGAGCCACTGCACCTGGCCTTTTTCTCTTTTTAATAAAAGTACTTGGGGTGCCGCGTAGTGGTCTCAGCAGCGCCCTTGTTAGCTGTGCAGCCCACTAGCATTTCCTCAGCACCTGCTCTGTGCCAGCTCCGGTGCTAATCCCCTTACCTATGTGGCCCGTTGTGCGCTTCCCACCTGCTGTTCCTCAACCTGCTGGCTGCAGCCCCTCATCTGAAAATGACCTGGAAATCTGGGGGTACCATCTCAAAGGCCTGACCCTGTCCCCAAACTCTGCTGATGTGGAGGCCTAGGGGCTTCAGACTTTCTTAACTGCCCGGTTAACAAGCACCGGCTCTGGGGTCTCTGCCGGGAGGTCAGAGTCAGGCAGTGGAAGTTCCAGAATTAGAGACATTCCTTTCTCTTCTACAAACTCTGAAATCCTCATAATCCCTGCTTTGGGGAAAGAAATGACCGTTGTCCTGCCGGGCACTTGATCTTTGATCTGCCCACCTGGGCTGAGGTGCTGGCCGCAGCCCTAGGTGGTCCCTGTCACATGCTCCGTGTGCATGGGGGCGCGGAATCGGCAAAACCCACCGGAGAGGCGGGGCTTATGGACAAGTGCTGGGAGGAGCCTCAGGCCCCGCCCCCACACCGAATGCCTGTCAGGGCCAAATGGTTCTCAACCTTCGGGCTGAGTTTTTATTTCCTATTTTCTTTTTTTTCTAAATGGAAAAATCAATAGAGTGAGCCCAGCCTCAGCACTTAGGAAACCCTATATAGGTTGCGGTCCCTCAGAGCTCCGGGACCGTCAGCCTTGCTGGAGCCAGACATCCGCTGTGCTGTCCTCACAGCAGGGCCTGCTCCGAGGCCCTGGGGTGGGTCAGCAGCCCTCCTCAAACACCCTGGGAGTGCCCAGCAGGGCGGAACACATCGGGAAACCAACACCCCAAAGGCACAGGGAAGTATCCCTGGAGCTAAAAATAGTTCTGGAAATTTGCCAGGGGGCTATAGGATGGGACGTGCGTGAAGGCTCCCTGGCCAGGCTCCGCGTTGGTGTAGTGGGGAAGGGGCGCCCAGGTCGGCCCTGGGAGGACATGAAGAGGCTTAGGCCGTGGGGTCTCAGATGTATTTACCCCTGCGCCTGGCAGCTGGCCCATGGTGACAGGCAGAGCTGGAGGCTGGCCATCTTGGAAGGTGGCCGAAGGTCCATGTGTCCTCTTGGCCCCTGGCCCTGGAGGGCGGATGGGGATGTGGAGGTTGCTGACAGAGCATTTTCTCAGGTGTTGGGTCAGGGGCTGGGGGGTCTACAGTGCAGGGAAGCCCAGCAGTGTTGTTCACTCCCATGCATCTGTACAAAGGGGTGCTAGGTTTGGGAGGGGGCCCCTGTGTTCACAACCTCATCCCCAACTTGGCCACTCCTGGGTTAGAGACTATGCCAGGGTTGGCCTGCCCCCTGTACCTCTTCCCTGCCCCCAGAGAGCCTTGCTTGGCTTGTGGGAGGTGGGGAAGGGAGCTGAGAGCCCTGGGATCTTCAAACTGTTCCTGCTTTTCCTTGCAGCTAAGAGGCCGGTGTCACCATACAGCGGGTACAACGGGCAGCTGCTGACCAGTGTGTACCAGCCCACCGAGATGGCCCTGATGCACAAAGTCCCAGTAAGTGGGTTCCCCAGGTCCCCATGATGCAGCTGGGCTACAGACACCAGTCTCAGCAGGCCAGCGGGAGAGGGCCATGTGGCCAGAGCTGGGTTGGGTGGAGATGGTAGGGGGAAGGCAAGCTTCTCCATCTGGTGCTTCTACCTGGGGAATCCAGAGCCCCAGTTCTTAACTTTCTTGTCCTGGAGTCAGCGTACCCACCACCTCCAGCTGCACTGCAGTGGGACCCGCCCTGTGTCACTGGGGCATTGCACACAGGCTCTGTCAGGATGCTACAGGGAATGCTCGGTGAGCTCTCCCTGGTGGGAGCTGCCAGCTTTACCCTGGAGAGCTTGTGGAGGGACAAAGGAGGGTCTCAGCCAGGTGTTACCAAAATGGACCAGGATCCAAATGTTGCAGGTCTGGATAGGTGTTTCCTTCTCAACCACAGCTGTGCCCAGGGGGCCCACGACTCCCCTCCCGCTCCGGCAGGGAGCAAGTCTCGACCTTACACCTCCCCTGGGTTCTGGAAACTAGATACTCCATTAGCCAGGGGAGGGGATGGGAGCAGGAAGACAGTGGGTTGGATTCTACTTGCTCCTGTATGTGTTCCTCCTCCTGGCTGGCAGAGGCTGTGGGGAGAGGTCAGTGACCCGTCTTGGCAAGACACTGGGAACAGGAAGCAAGGAGGTCAGCCGGGTGGCGTTCTCATCCCCCTCCCCGCCCTGTCTGTGAGAGCCGCAGGGCAGGGGGAGGCGAGTGTGGCTGAAGCTTCCAGTCCCAGTGCCTCCCCTCTCCCAGAGCCTGAAACTGAACCTGGGCAGAGGACAGTTTTCGGAGGGCCAGGAGTGGAAGCTGCGGGCCGCCAGCTCTGGTGGGGAGTAGGCAGCCACAGAAGCTTTTCCTGAGTAGCTTCCCTCACTGTTGTTGTGCCTCACTCCCCAGCACCTTTGGAGTCCGCTTCCTGGGGGATGATCTGGATGAACAGGGATATTTTATCTGACCGGTTCTCAAAACATGGTACCCGGACCACCAGCATTAGCCTCACCTGGGAGCCTGCTAAAAGTGCAAAGGGAGCCAGGTGCAGTGGTTCACATCTGTAATCCCAGCACTTTGGGAGGCTGAGCAGGTGGATCACCTGAGGTCAGGAGTTTGAGACCAGGCTGGCCAACATGCCGAAACCTCATCTCTACTAAAAACACAAAAATTAGCCAGGCATAGTGGCACATGCCTGTGGTCCTAGCTACTGGGGAAGCTGAGGCCAGAGGATCCCTTGAACCCGGGAGGCGGAGGTTGCTGTGAGCCGAGATTATACCACTGCACTCCAGCCTGGACAACACAGTGAGACTCTGTCTCAAAAAATAAATAAATAAGAAATAAAAAAAATAAAAGTGCAGATGGGACGGGGCCAGAGCTGGGATGGAGCTGACTGTTAGCATCCCTTCAGGGCATTGGCACCATGGGGGTACTACTAAGTGCAGATCCGCAAGCCCTGCTTTCAGCACTCCCTCCCCCAGCCCCAGTTGTTGCCAGCTGTGTGGGGCCCACTGTGTAGGGTCCGGCTCTGAGTCGGTGAGGCTTATCAAGCAGTGTAGGTGATTCCAGCGCATACTCATCCGTGGATTGGGGCCACGGACGTAGATGTTCCAGGGGCCACGTGGACAGGGGCCATTGTGGACAGGGGCCATTGCAGACAGGGCTGAGGACCTCCTGAGCCTGATTGACTTGAAGGCTGGTTTGGGGCCTGGGAGCTACAGAGATTTGGTGGCAGCTCTTTCCCATAGGGCTAAGACAGATGGGGCCAGGAATTCACCTTCCCTCCAGCATGGGAGCCAGAACAGGTACCTCAGGACCCTCTTCACCTCACAGCTGGTGTCTCTCACCCACATGGGAGCAAGACCCAGCGCCAGGCAGAGAATTCAGGTTTCAAGACTCCAAATCAGGGCTGGATGCAGTAGCTCAGGCCTTTAATCCCAGTGCTTTGGGAGAGTGACATGGGAGAATTGCTTGAGGCAAGGGGTTCGAGAGCAGCCCTGGCAATGTAGTGAGACCCTCTCAATCTCTACAAAAAAAAAAAAAAAAAAAAGACTCTAAATCAGACCTGCCAGCCTAGATGCCTAGAGAGATGTGTGGGCACACCCAGCGCCATGTCCTCGGCCAGGGGAGCCAGCAGCTGTGATGCTGGGGGTATGGTAGTGACAGGCGGTAGACTCGGGGTAAGAGTCTTAGAGGAAGGGGCCTGGGATCTATACCAGACAGGTCATAGCAGCTCTATGTGGCTGACCCTCCACTGGCCCTAGCATTTCCCTAAACAATTAGAAGCGGGAGGGGGCTTGAGAAGAGGACACCTCTCTGTGAAGCCCCAGCACCATCCAGGGTCACCAGGGGCCTTGTTCCCATGCCTAGAGGCAGGGCAAGATAAGGGGCTCAGGTCTGGCTGTCCCAGGCCGCCCCTGGGGCCCAGCCAGAGGGGGCAGAGGAGCCGAGGGGGGAGTCGGGGGGGATCTGGCAGGCCCAGCCCTGCAGGAAGTGAGTGTTTGTGCATCCGCCCCGGCGGAACCTGGCTCCCGATCCCCGACTGTGAGACCGCCTGTTCTTCCTTCCAGTCCGAAGGAGCTTACGACGTCATCCTCCCACGGGCCACCGCCAACAGCCAGGTGATGGGCAGTGCCAACTCGACCCTGCGGGCTGAAGACATGTACTCAGCCCAGAGCCACCAGGCGGCCACACCGCTGAAAGACGGCAAGAACTCTCAGGTCTTTAGAAACCCCTATGTGTGGGACTGAGTCAGCAGTGGCCAGGAGAGGCGGGCGGATTTGGGGAGGGCCCTGAGGACCTGGCCGCAGGCAAGGGACTCTCCAGGCTCCTCCTCCCACTGGCGGGCTCAGCAACATGTGCCCCAGAGCTAGAAGGGCCTCCCTCTCTGCCAGTGTTTTGGTGGGTGTCCTGGGTGTCCTCACCCACTCCTCAGTGTTTTGAATCAAGGAAGCCAACCAAGGGTTCACTCCCTCCACACTCCAGGCCAAATAGTGTTCCGGGGGGTGGCGGGCACGCCTATGTCTCTGAGATTCCTCAAACCTCCAACGAGAACTTCTCAGGCCGTCGGCACGGAACTTGGCTCCTCTTGAGGAAGGTGCCTAATAAAAAATTCCGCTATTACCTCGATTGGGGATGTGGTTTCTGAGCGGGCCCCCTGGTCCTGAGAAACCCTCCTCTCCATGGCCCGGCGGACTTCTCTTTCTTCCCTCCAAAATCCGCCATATTAAAGCGCTGCCAGATTTTTCCCCGTGCAATTTAGTAGCGACCTCCCCCATGAGGGGTTCTTTAGCAGTCCTTGTCTGATTGTTGTGCAATCAAATGGAAACCCAGGCTAGTCGCTGCTAGGATGCAGTCCTACAACTGGGCTTGTCCAGGTAGCAGCTTTCCCATGGGGGAACCCCCTTCATGCCGCCAAGACAGACTGGGAAGGTGGCCTTTGAGCAGGTGCCCTGTGCTTAAGAAGTAACTAAGTTCAGCCTCCTCCCTGATAAAACGGTGGAAGATCCAAGCGGACAAAGTGAGACTCATTCCGCCCATGCTTTGAGATACACCGCGCCGATACGTGCAAGGAATGGCCCTAGAAGGGTCAGAACCTGGTTTTACAAATGGTTGAAAGTGCAAAGGGGGCCACGTCCGGTTGGTTTTTCCTGAGCGTCCATTAAATGTCATTTGGTGCAGGGCGCGATGGCCTCAAGCCCTGTAATTTCAGCCCTTGGAGCCAAGGGGGCAGATTGCTTGAGCCCAGGATTCCAGACCTAGCCTGGGTTAACATAGAACCTGTCCTACCAAAAAAAAAAAAAAGGTATTAGCCAGGCATTAGTCCAGCTACTCACCGGCTGAGGTGGGAGGATCCTGCTACCCAGGGAAGCTTCGTATGTAGTAGCGTGATTGCACCATTTGCATTCCTGTGGTTGCCAACAGAGCGAAACTCTGTCTCAAAAAAGAAAGTCATGCTCCAGTACTTTAAATACGCAGCAAAACCTTGTCCTCAGCATCTCTTTTTGTATAAAAATTTAATTTAAGTTAATTTTTTTTTTTTTTTTTGAGAAGAGTCGTGTCTTTGCAGGCCTGGATCATGGCACAATCTCGGCTCACTGCAACCTCCACCTCCCAGGTTCAAGTGATTCTCCTGCCTCAGCCTCTTGAGTAGTTGGGATGACAGACATGTGCCACCACACCTGGCTAACTTTTTGTATTTTTAGTAGAGACAGGGTTTCACCATGTTGCCCAGGCTGGTCTTGAATTCCTGGCCTCAAGTGACCTGCCCACCTCAGCCTCCCGAAGTGCTAGGGTTACAGGCACGAGCCACTTCACCCGGCCCATCAGCTCATTTTAATCCCCAAGGCTGCCCTGGAAGGTGGGCAGGACTAGCACGCTCTCCCTTTTCCCGACTCAAAATCGCAGAACTGTACCATTTTGGGGTGAGACAGGGCCTCAGAGTGGTCTCACCGCCCCCTTTTACAGATAAGCGAACTGACCCAGAGAGGTCAGGCCAACCCCAACCAGGTTTTCCTCAGACTCTGACGTCCAGCAGCCTTTCTCCGTGGCCCACCCTGGGTAAGCCAGTCCAGTGGGTGGCACTTCAGCCGTGAGGATGAGACAGCAGGGTCCGACCTTTGGATGCTGCTCAAGGCCTTGCCGGGGGCTGTCAGGCCTGCCCCGGGGAGCCTGCTCTTCCCAGGCTTGGGAATGTTTCTCCCCAACTAGTCAGAAGCTATTTTCTGATACCGGTTGTAGGGGAAAAACTGTTTTTGTTGAAAGGGACAGAAAAGTTGCTGGGGAGAAAAAAAAAAAAAAACTTGAAAGGGAGAGAAAGGTTGCTGGAAAAAAAAATAAACTTCTCCCAAACTTCTCCTTCTGTGCTCAGATTGCATCAGCCTCCTGGGGACTGAAACACTATTTTTAAGTAAAAACTAGTGCTTGGGCCCTGCGTGGTAGAGTCCCCTTTGACTCTTGTTCTTTCTGGTCACTTTAGGCTCAGTCCCCGCAAAGTAAAACGAGATGGTAGAAGCCCTCTTCCCGGGACCGCACGGCATCCTGATCCTCATTCCTCTGTACCCAGGCTGGGCTGGGCCCAGCACCTGTCCTGTCCTTGTCATTGAAGCTGGGAGGGGCCGGAGGCCACCGACCTGAAGCAGTGGACCGAGTGGGCCCTCATGAAGCCCTGAGTGTGTGACTGGAGCGCCTAGGGCCACCTCCCTTTCCTGCCCAGCCCATCTTCCTGGTTCCCAGGTGGCTGCAGCTGCAAGGAGCTGTCCGCAGGCCCCCAGGCTGCCTCCAACTCCCCTCTTGACACCCTCCACCCCTCACCAAATCATAGCCCCTATGTCCCCAGGCTGTGGTTCTTCAGATTGCCATCCTCCCCTCTGTGAACAGCAGGCCTCAGTGTACCGTCTTGACTCTGGACCTTCCTGGCCCTGCCATCTTGGTGTCTGGCACTGGCTTGTCCCGCCCTCTGCCTAGATGGATCTCCTCCATGAGTCTTTGAGGCCAAGCCAGGGCAGCAGTTGGCCCTTGCCCTTCTCACCAGGGCCTCCTACCACCACCTGGACTGTGGAAGGCCACTGAGATGGGGGCAGAGCTCAGCCCAAGGCTTGGGCACACTGCTTCTCTCCACGGCCTATGGGTCCCGGATCTGAACCCCTGGGGTGTTTCACTTGAGAGCCCCTGAGCCGTCCCCATCTTCCACAAAGCAGGTCCCACCAGCAAGCCAGGGCCAGCCCCTGAGCTGTCCCCATCTTCCACGAAGCAGGTCCCACCAGCAAGCCAGGGCCAGCCCCTGCAGCTGTCCCCATCTTCCACGAAGCAGGTCCCACCAGCAAGCCAGGGCCAGCCCCTGAGCTGTCCCCATCTTCCACGAAGCAGGTCCCACCAGCAAGCCAGGGCCAGCCCTGCCTGAGCTCTGCCCCCAGTGCCCCTCACCATCTGGGACGAGGATGAGCATGCTGGGATGAGGGCTCTCTTTATCCAGCAGTACCCCATGGACAGCTCACTAAGGAGTTGGGAATGGCAGGCCACCCTGGCATCTGGGGTTCAAGGTGGCTCCTGTGGCAGGAACAGGTGTCCATGACCCTGATTACCTGGATCTCACAGGTTCTGGGAATGCAGCTGGATTCCCAGAATGCCTGCTGTGGCTATTCCAACATCTCTGGTCAGGGCCTGGAAGTACCCTTAGGACACGTGGGGTTGGGGTTCAGACTGCATTCTCAGGGACCAGTGGAGAGCCCTGGACCCGATGAACTGGAGTCTAGGCCTCTCTCGTGACTGGGACTTGTGGGACGTGGGAGGCCCATGAGACCCAGGACTAAAGATGATGCTATTTTCTGATGGGCAGATATGTAAGTGGGTAAGTGGGATCCTCAGGTAAGTGGGATCCAGGACTAAAGATGATGCTATTTCCTGATGGGCAGATATGTAAGTAGGTAAGTGGGATCCAGGACTAAAGACTGCTATTTCCTGATGGGCAGATGTGTTGAGTTTCTACCTCATCTCGAGCAGCACCTGGATGTGCTGGTGCCGGTTCATCACTGGAGGAGCCTCTTGTGTTCTGAGCCCTCAGATATGCTCCAGAGGATCCTGACGGTCACCCAGTGAAGAGGGTGCCTTCTCAGGACCTCCATGGTGCTGGCACCGAGGACGGAGATGGGCACAGCTCCAGGCTTGTGGAAATGAGCTCTCTATAGCATTGTCTTCCTGGGGTTTTTCCTGCCCTTATCCAAGGTGGGCCCTAGAGCTCAGTCCCCAGCCCAGCAGCACCTCTGGGTGCCAGAGTGGAGGGTGACGACCAGAGCAGCTCTCTGGGGGGGGTGCCCTGTAGTCAGTCCCACAGCCCTCCGGTGCTACTCCCATCCCCAGCAGCCTGTGCCTTTGTCACTGGCGTACTTTTCCAGAGCTAAATTGGGTGAGCAATCCCTGCAGAGTAGGACTGCAGCCCTGACTGTGGCCCCTGGCCTGTCTTTGTTGCTTGCTGAAGTCCATGAACAGAGTGTTGTTTCCCTCCAGTGGAAGGAAAGCAGGGAGCTCTGTGAACTTCACGCTGCGCTTGGTCTAGCTTAGCAGCCCCAAGATCCCTTAGTGAATCGAGGCGCTGTGTTGCTTTCCTATGTGATAATTTCAAAGGAGTCCCTGGCAGTGCCTGTTGCCCAGAGGCTGCAGTCTCCAGTGCACGCGGGTTTGTGTATAGCCTGAGTCCTCTGGGGGCTCAGCGCGTGAGGCTCAGGGTGGGATGGGCTCCTAAAAGATGCAGGCCTACCTGTGTTCAGGAGTACCCACCGGCCCTGCTTACTCCTGCCCGGGCCAAGTGGAGAAGTTAGATGAGTTCTTAGGAGGAGAGAGGTGGCTTCTTTGAGGTGGTCGAGTGGCATCACAAACAAGCACTGAATGGAAGAAAACTAGAAGAGGCAGAGCCTGTCGCAGGTTCACCATCATCCAGCCAACACCGTGGGAAATCTCACACCCACCACTGTCAAACCGAGGACTTTGGACTTCATAACTGCTCAGAATTAAATGACCTTACCCTCCGTGGGTGAGGGCTTACTGCCACTGAATTCCTGTGTGTTCATAAATTCTTCTGGGAGTGACTAGTTTTTTTTAAATTATTATTATTTTATTTTTAGAGACAGGGTCTTGCTACGTTGCCCAGGCTGGTCTCAAATTCCTGACCTCAAGCGATTCTCCATTTCAGCCTTCCGTGTAGCTGGGATTCCAGGTGCCTGCTCCCCCACCCCCACCCTGCCTCTGGGATTTTTTTCATGTGTATTTCCCTGTTAGTCCTCTTGCTTTTTATACCAACAAAGGCTGTTTGATTCCAACTAACCTTTTTCTCTATTGGGGAAAACCAGGCCTCCAAAAACCACTGAGCTCTCAACCAGTCAAGGCCAGAGAACTCTGACACCTACACAAGATGTGAGTGGGGAGGGGGTAACCCCAATAGTATCCCTGTTGCTGCCTGGCATGGCTGGAAGAGGCAGCCAGGACACCTATTGGGTGAAATTCTCAGTGCACAGAAAGGCATACCAGAACCAGGGATGGCTGATAAATCCCCCGGGCCATGAAGACCTGCCGAGTGCCATGCCTGACTTTCCAGTTTACTCATGGCCCTGCACTTGTTCGTCAGCCCCTCACAGCTCGTAGAAGAGAGCAAGCAACGGAGGCTAAGTGCCTGTCCCGTGGGGGTGCTGCTCGGAAGGGTCTGTCGGCCCTCCAAGCCATTCTCGCCAAGGCCAGCATTTTCACTAGCCCCAGAGGACGCGCCAAGGTCAGGCACAGGTGCCAGGGACCAGAATGTGTTTCCTGTCTGCTGTCTCCACTCTGGGCCCTCCAGGAAGCTGCAACCCCTGTTCACAGCAGCTGCATGAATTATTTAGCACCTGCACCAGACCGGGAGTGCTCTGACCTCATCCTCCTTGGGCTCGGGGTGCGGCTCTGACCTCATCCTCCTTGAGAAAAGGTTGCTGATGGGCAGAGGCTGGAGTGGCGCGTCCCTCTGGGGTGCGGGGGATTGAAAGGGAGACATCAGTATCCTCAGAGAAGGAGGTGGGGAGCAGGGACCCATGCCCCTGTAGCAGGAGGCAATTCTGCAGCACAGAGAAAATATGACTTTGGAATCAGAGACTGTGGGTTCAGATCCTGGCTGTTAGTAGTTCTGTGACCTTCAGCAGCTCCCTTAGTCCTTCCTCAGTCTTCTCATCTGAAAAATGGGGGTACCAGCCTCCTGAGTTTGTGTTTAGCGTTCTGTCCCCTCCAGGTAACCCCCATGAAAGTCACAGCCAAGGCAGAGCATCCAGGCACCATCTGCCCAGTGTTTCCTGCCCAGACAAGCAGGTCTTCCAGCCAGATTTCAGTTTGGCACCCCCTGGTGCCACATCCTCCCTTCCCTCTGCGCTGCCTCATGCCCTGGGTCCCCAGAGTGGGTGGCTTGGCAGGTTGCCGCGACTGGAAGAGGATGCTAAGGAGAGAGACCCTTGGCAGTGCCCGCGCCCTGACTGGCAGGGGAGAAGGGCTCTCAGAGGCGTTAGGAGGGTCACCAGGTGCACAGGAAGTCTAGGAAGCTAGGCTGAAGAGCTGGGACAGAACTGCTTTCTGACAGCAAAGTCCACTGTCTACTGGGTGGACGGGAGGCAGTGGAGATGAGCGCGATCTGGTCCCTGCCCTCCTTTGCCAGGTCAGGCCTTAGGGCTGAAGTGGGAGTGGCCATGTGAGTTCCAGCAAATGCGTTTTGAGATTAAGCAGGCAGGTGCCTTCAGCAAGCTTCCCCGGGCATCCCCTCCTCAAGCGGCACCTTCGTGGCGGGCAGGGCATCTCGGACAGGTCCTGGCTCCAGCTAGCTCTGTGGCCTTCAACAGCTCCCTTGACCCCCTCCCCACCCCCACAAGGGTTTCCTCATCTGTAAAATGCACCCTGATGTCTCCAGCTCTGTCTAAGCCCTGGAGTTGGTGTCCCCAGCAGTGGAGAGGGGACCTAAAACCCCAGGGCTGTGCCACAGATACACCCCTAGGGGTTCCGACTCAAAGTCTGGAGCAGAACCGGGCGGACACAGGGTCACCGCCTGGCTGTGCTTTGGACAGAGAAGCTGGGTCCCGTCGGGGGTGAGTGGGGCCTGTCCCAGCCGGTTGTCCGCCCCATCCCCCCACCTCTCACCCCCGCAGACTCCTCCAAGCCAGGGGCCTGGAAGTGGCTCCTTCTTCTGATTCACCCAAAGGCGACAGTGGCTTGCCTCATCCCCAACTCCACCGACGGCATGAGAGGGCCATGGAGGCCCGGGCCCAGGGAAGGTTTTACGCTCAGTCCTTAACCCAGCGTCATAATCTGACCGGGTTGTGAGAGGGCTCGGGGCCCCGGAACCCCAGCCGCAGACAGCTCACTCCTCCGCACGCACCTAGGTCGGGGGAGGTGGGGGTGGGCCCGAGCAGCAGGCGCGCCCACGTGCCTCTCCCGCGAGGGCCCGGCACCCCAGCTCCAGCCAACCCGAGGCCGCCTCTCGTGCCCCACCTCAAGCCCCGCCCCGGCCCCTGCAACCCGATCTTCACCGCCGGGCGGCGGCCGGAGCCAACTGTCCCAGCGCCTGCTGTAGCCTGGGGCCGGGCCGCCGCGCTCCGCCCCTCCCCGCCCTCAGAGCCGGGCCTCGCAGCCGCCGGGGATTGCGGGGGCCGCATTCATCCACGTGTCTCTCAGGCTAGCGCAGAGACGGGGGTGGGGTGGGTTAGGCCAGGGAAGCAGGCCCCTTTTCCTAAGGGAAGAATCCCCTCCCGGAGGCCCGCCGGGTCGTGGAGTTTCCACGGGTGGACGTAGTGGGGCCGAGGGCACGGGGAGCCCTGCCGCTGCCTTATGTCTGGCTCTAGACCAGGGTTCCTCGGCTCCACCAGCGACATTTGGGGCCGGATCGCTGTGTAGTGGAGCTGGCCTGGGCACTGCAGGATATTATCCCTGACACCCTCCACTGGATGCCAGGAGCACAGTCAGCCCCCTAACCGTACAAACACAAACGTCTCTGAACACGGCTAAATGTCCCCTGGGGGCAAACTCTCCGGGTAGAGACCCACTCCCCGAGGGTTTTACGGTGGACACTTGAGGCAGCCACACGGCCTGGGGGCCGGGAGCCCGAGGTCCCTGCACCCAGGACGCTGGTGCTGGCCTCCCCTTCTCCCCGCCGCTGCCAGCTGCTTCAGGCTGGCCTAGGGACTGTGACCCTTGACCTGACAGTATTTCGGCAGCATGTGACCTGCCAGGCTTTCTCACCATAGGGTGCCCCCCACCCTGATGTGGGTGCTGGGACAGGGGATGCTGGGGACAAGCCCGTCACTAGCAGTCAGGCCAGCTGGGGCACCAGAAAGATTCAGGCACTGGGTGTCCATGGGCAGCCTGAGTTTCCCCAGGAGAGGCTGGGCTGAGGCTACTGTGTGAGCCCAGGGGCTGTCAGGACTGAAGGTCAGAGGGCATCCTGGCCCACAGGGTCCACCCCTTACACACACACACACACAGGGTGGGGCGTGGGAAAGACAAAAGGAGTCGGTCCCAGCCAGGGAGGATCCCGCCCTGTCCCTTCACCAGGCCCATTTGGGGGCGGTCATCAGAGCCAGGAGGCCCATGAGAGGGCTGGGGCAGGGCACTGTTGGCCCCAACCCCCATCTACATGCCACCCTGCCATGCAAAGCAGAATTTTCAGAAGAATCCAATTCCAGACTTCACAGGGGAGGTTTTAGTAGTCCCCCTCCCCCTGTGTATTCACAATTGGCTATATTTGCATAGGAAATCTGGAAAGAGACAAAAGGCACCATAGCAGATGTTAAAGTGGACCATTGGTGGGGTTGGCCAGGGGCGGCGGAGGGGGGAAAGGGGCTGGGTGTGGGGGTGGAAATCCACAGGTACCAAGCAGATGAAGGACAAGAAGATTTTTTGTCTTGTTTTGCTTTTTCTGTCTCTCTTTCCTTTCTCTCTTTTCCATAAAAATAAATTACGTAATTAAAAAAAGTTCATCTGAAAGAAAGAAAAAGGGCCAGAGGTAGCAGTGGCCCTCCATCAGCAGCTGCAGTGGCCTGTGACGTCCCTGCCCTAGCCCACACAAAGACCAGAGTGAGCAACTCTCAGCCACACTCCCCTTCCTCATCTCTCCCCCTGAGAAAGATGGGCCAACTTTTACCCTGCCTGAATTTTCAGCTCATTCTCTCCTTGAGAGGGTTTTCAAGGAGGCTGGGGTGGGGAGTGTGTGTTCATTGCATGTATGTGGCCTGGGGCGCCCACCCTCCACCCAGCCTTGCTAAATGATTCTTCGAAGGCGGAATTAGATTTACATCCGTGGAGTAGACTGGTGTGCTGTTTCTCCGCGTGTAGCTCATCGTTATAAAACACGCCTTGTCCCACGGGGCAGACAGCAACAGACATGGGAATAGCATTTGGCTCATTAATTCATTCGTTCATCAGGTTTTCATCCATATTTATCAAAGGCTGCTCCGTGCCATCATTCTAATTAACATCGATTCCCACACTGATCTCTCTCCTAGTATCCCAGTCTGTGTGGCACACAATTCTTTCACCTCCTCAAATCTGAGGCTTCTATCTCCCCAGCTCACTGCAGCCCGGTGTGTTGGGTCTCTGAGGGGAACCTCTCACTGTGTGTGACAATTCCTCAGCTACTTGACGGTGTCCATAGCTGCTGACCTGCTCTGAGGTCTACAAGGGCAAAGACACCCCCATCCGTGCGTCTATGTTCATGTCCCTGTGTTGGGGATGAGGGTTCACTGATGGGGACTTTGGTCACCTGGAGACAGCTGTGTCCCGGCTCTGAAAGTGAGGCTGGTTGGCCAGGCATGATGGCTCACACCTATAATCCCAGCATTTTGGAAGGCCAAGGCAGGAGGATTGTTTGAGGTCGGGAGTTCAAGACCAGCCTGGCCAACATGGTGAAACCCTGTCTCTACTAAAAATACAAAAATGAGCCGGGTGTGGTGGTGCTTACCTGTAATCCCAGCTACTTGGGAGGCTGAGGCAGGAGAATCACTTGAACCCAGGAGGTGGAGGTTGCAGCGGGCAGAGACTGTGTCACTGCACT